AGGAAATCATCTCCCTAGAAGAATAAACTCATTTAAAGAACTAATGTTAATTGGAAACTGCCGAACAAAATGCTTGTGAATTAAGGAGCCTAGGAGTGAATAACAGATACACACATTGACCGTTTGTCGATGAAGCAGGACAAAACACTTCCCTTTCCCTTTCGTCCCGATCTCTTGCTGACCAGAGAACTAGGAGGGCTGCAGAATAGCTAGGAATGAACTGCCACCGTGTGGCCAAGGAACAGTTTTAGCTACCTTCCTAGAAATCTCCTTCAAGAGCTGTTGCACTGAGACAAATGACAGTCCCCAGCACTTACAAGTGAAAGTTTTCTGCTCGATCGCATATTTCACTTCTGTGGTACTTGCAGCTCGTCCCTAGCAGTGGCCATAGGCTTCTTGCTGAGGACTTGCTCCCTTCTCAGTCTTACTTTAATAAAAGGGTAGAACACATCTCTTAATTCCATAAATCCATCCTAAGTTTTCTCTAATAGGTCACCTCTTCTTCTGACGGGGGTCAGGGTATCATAATCCTGGAGACAGTCAAGTGATGATTCCAGGTCTTGCCTTAAAAAAGAGAAGATAACTTTTTAATACGACAAGCCTGTTTGTTTGTTAGTGGAAAACTTATGACCTTGCGCTAAATTATTGTTAGTCAAGTAAGACTCTGACCTCTGCTTTGCAGCTTGGTCTGAAGCAGCTGGACTCATGTTCTAACTTGCCCTCAAAATTCTTTTAGAAGAACAGGTTTTTCTAGCTGTTAAACTCAAGATAGATCACGAGTCGTTCCACTGACTTGATGCAACTTTGTTCCACTTTACCATGGGCATAACTCAGAGCTATAGGTCTAAAAGGTGGCAAAAGCCCCCTAAACACACCATGTGGTGACTGGCCAGCTTCGTGCTACTTGCATCTCCTTGTGGGCCACTCTATCATGAAAACATAACAGGCAGTCTCCTGAATTAGCCTAAGCAAAAGTGCAAACTGGACCTACAGCAGTGAAGATTTTGAGGACATCCACCAGGTGTTAATCCAGTATTTTTAGACACCCCATTCAATCTGGAGCATCACATAACTATCCATCTTTGCTAAGCATTATCTTGGAGGACTTTCTGCATTACTTACTATAGTGCTGACACCTTCTGCCTTCACTGTAACTTTATGGCACTGCAAGATTCAAACCAGAGTGTACATCTTGTCCAGCTGCCAACTTTCCATTAGCACATATATTTCTTCTGTTTCTGCCAAAGACGCTTACAATTTCAGCTCACTTATGTGCATCATGATTACACTGAGTTGCTGCACACAAAAGGACAAAATAATTTTGACTCCTCTGGGACATGATTTCTTCAACAGACTTCATCTCTCTTCAGTTACTGGATTCTTGTACACAGTGTCTTTAATTTCTTATGGACAGCTGTGGATGTGGCATCACAGAAATTCATATCCAGAGCCTGTTTAGAGCTAGTGCTCAGCAATGACAGCAGCTAGAAGAACCTGAAATACCCCAGTATTTCAGCTGACCTGGATTTGAAACAACAAAATAAGAGAAACCTTCCTAAAGGTCTTGCTCATTACTCCAGTGCACTCTTGGAAAGAGCTTTTGGGATCAGTGCTACGGGGAATGCTCACACACAGTGGCCTTGATTGATATTACTCCTAGTTGATACTCTTCATTATCAGGGCCTGGGAGCCTGGGGGCATGACTGAAGGAGCTCAGTAATAATCTCTGCAAGGGATCTAGGTCATGAGGAGCTCTGCTGGTCATGAATAATTCTTCTGTACAATTTGCATTGTCAGAGCACCTATAGCAGGTGCTTAATTAAGTAGTGCTTAATTCCAACTTCGCAATGCCTGAAAATAACTGCATGTTGCAGCAAGGTCATTTAGAGACCCTACCCAATGTAAATAGGGTTCCTTTAGTGTCCATGCAGAGAGCTCTGCCTCCAAAGGTCTTGGGGAAATAATTCAGGGAAGCCAAGGAGAATTAGCTGCTCCTGGAAACTTGGAAAACTGCCTAGGGTGAGTCGATGTTAGGTAGGGACATGGCTCCCTCTCAGAGCATACAGAGGGCGCTGCCATCCACAATAAACCCTTCTCCGAGGACACAGCACAGAAGATGGAAATGCTTACCTTTCCTCTTTCCGGCTCCTTTTACGTTCAACAGCCATTTTCTCACACAGGTAACACAAGACCTAGCTTATGGGCCAAAGCTCCCCCAGCTTTCACCTCCCCAGAGAGTGGCCTAAGATGCTAGGACCACTCTCCATAGCCCTATTAGAGCTGAGACATGTCCAGTGAGGAGAACACAAGGGTTAATATGCTAGAATGAGAAAGAAGATTGTCTACTTTTATGGGATAGGAGGTAGAAAATGTTCTCAGGGAAAAACTGCTTTATTTTACTTGCTTAATTAAAATTTACCAAGATTATAGCAGGCTTGAAATGACCTTTAGGAAAAGGAGAAACAAACAAACAAACAAACCAATCACAGAATTCACATTGAAATTACACCTCTTATTTTCCTCCTCTGTCTCTTATTCATAAAAGCAAACACATTTCACACTAGAGTTTAAGTGTTGGACAGCTGGGGGACCCTGACCCTCTGTCACAGACAGAGGATCAGAGATACGTGTTTTACAAGGACAGACAGAAGTCACAGGGAAGGTCAAAAATGCTGAAGCAGTTTGGTTCTGCACATCACAGTGCATCCTTAAAACTATAGCAAACGATCAGCTACTCCAATGCATATAACCTTGGCACTATGAACATGAAGCACAGCCCAGGGCAGAACACCATTGGAATCCTTTTCTTCTTCTTTCATCAGTATTTTAATTATTCACACTCCTAATTCTATGATAGCAACTCAAAAAGACGGTGAAGTTTTCTGTCAAAATCCATCCTTGTTACAGGTTCTAGTAGCAAAACGGTGACCACACACTTACTAAAAATGTTCATTGGCAACTTCAGATGAGATTCTGCTTGGAGAGGGGTTTCAGGGTAATAAGGTTGCCAGAAACATGCAGGCTTGAGCACTGACCCTCTCCCCTCACACATACACAGAGCTGCAACCTTGAGGCATGTCAGGAGCAACATGCTGTGCTCTGGCTATCTGACCTGGCCAAGTGGCCTTGAATGGTCATGTCAAATGCAGAACATTTTTGATGACACTATGTTCAGTTCAGGACAGTCAAGACAGGACTGGGGACATACAAAGGCAGCAACATTGTACAGAGAATACAGACTAATCAAGAGAAGCACCAACAAAAGGAAAACAAAATGTAGACCTTAATTTAATCTCTTCATGAATATATATTAATGCTGTTGGTTAAACTGGTCATTTTCAAGAGGATATAGACTAGACAAAGAGCAGTAAAAGTACTTCCAGAATTAAAGTGCTACAGAAACAATTCCTCCCCTTCTAGAACACCACCAGAAAAAAAAAAAGCAGACTGCTTTAATCAAAAAGGAGATGCCAGCTCTGAATGCAGAAACATATGGTTTTTTGGCACTCTCCTATCTCATGACAGAAAATGTCCTAGATCAGTGAGATCTGAGAGGTATTTCCACATCATGGCAGAGGTGCTGTTTGATTAACTCAGTCCCAAAGACTAGGAAGATAAATCAGCAAGAACTGCTTCCAAATGTTCTGTGTGGTGGGCACAAGGTTCATGGAGTTTATGATGTATCAGTTGGGTTATATTGATGGCTAATGCCTTAGGAAATTTATCCAAGCCTGTGGGCGTGAAAACAACTGAATATAGAAACAAGAATTCACCAGTGAATCACCAGCTGGTCGTACCAATGCTGCCATGATCCACCTGTCACAGTGAACCACCAATTGAACGCCAGATGGAAAAAATTAAAGTAAGCAAAGGCTTGATCCCAAATACCTTTGCAAATTCTTAAGGCAAAGCATGAGCTGGGGGTTGTGGTTCAGATTGATGCCTGTGATATAAATGGTATTGCATTATCTGAAGGGCCGTAGGCTAGTATTTCCACAGGGTGTTATTGCCTTGTCACTTCGTATGCATTTGCACATTGCTGTACATCAGTGGAACAGGCAGACATAGGTCTTAACAATTCCGAGTATGCCGTGGAAGATGTACCACCTCTAAGACTAAAAAGCCCAAAGAGGAACACTTCCAGTATAGTCTTTAATGGTGAAGTAGCAGATTACCAAATATTGGATATAATCTAAAGCTGATACAGTGGATTTGCCTGCAGATTGTCTGCTGCATTTGAAAACAACCTTTGCTCCAATTTATTCTCAAAGTGCTCTTTTCCAAGACATTAAGCTTTTCTAGTGTGCATTGGGATGTCTAGATTCAACAATTGGGTGTTAAAATAGAAAAAACCCTAACAGGTGGTGTAACCATATGAAAAAAAGGTTGAATGTATTTTTGCATTCCCTTGATGTATCCAAGGACAGAACAATTCCCAATAGCAAGCAGAGCACAAGATAGCTTGTTTTTTCAATTCACACTGAAGCAGTTCCTCCAAACACAGGTTTCTAATGCTGATTCCTTCACTGCAGCTTTTTCTGCTTGTACCACAGCTTGCTTGTACCTCAGTGCTGTTGTACACCCTCAGATCACAGAATCAATGATGGCACATACAAATTTTCCCATGCAAAAAAAGAGAAAATTCTGCTTCACTGCTCTGAAGTTGGAAGCAGTGGTGCAAAAAGCTCCAACATATTCACTGAACTGCTTGAACTGCTGTACTAAACTCAAAAGAAAAATTACTGCACCAGGCAATCTCTGAATCATTGCTTTCAATAGCAGCCACAGAAAAAAGGCTTGTCAAGTTGGAGCTCCCCCCCCAGGCTGAATGACAAAGCAGTATTGTTAGGCACAATGAACTCAATGAGTTAAACCCTCATATGAGCCCAACATTGAAATAGCCATGGCTTAAAATATGTCCCACACAAAGAGCCTTCAGTGACTGCACAGTTCACTTCCACAGCGTAAGAGATGGATCAGAGGCTAAAAAACAAAAGCAAGTCTTGGATGTCCTATTTCAGATATTCTATCTTCAGCTGAAGAGGGAATATTCTTTCAATATTCTTTTTTACGTGTTTTGGGCTTAAATTTTAAAGTGCTATATGCCCCTTCCACAGCTTTGGGCAAGTACATGGGATGTCTTTCCAGCCTCTTCCTAGAGTTAGTGGTTCCCCGCTGGCTGTTTGTTTGAGATTGGTTTGCAGCCTTTGCTGTCTGGGCAGTCTCTTGTGAGTATCTCCGGGGAGCACGAAGGATCCAGTTTGAATGTAAACTGTGTTCACTTGTGCTGGTAGCAACTGAAAGACATAAGATAATGTGGTGTTAACAGTCTACCTGTGATAATTTACATGCACAACTATGTCAGAGTTAGTCCCTTTATACACACTTTTAAGGCACAGCTTATCAGGCCTCTTTTAGATATCCACTTTAGCCTAAGACAAAAGAGAGAAATGTCAGTTTCTCTCCACTGATTATGCTAGGATAGAAGATAAGCTCACATGACATCTTCATTTAGTCAGGCAATCCCATCATTTCTGGTGGAAATGTACCATTATTTAGCCTTATTTCTAAATGACTTTTTTTTTTTGCTGGTTGGAGAGAAAACATCCAGCCATTTCTCAATGAGAAAAATGAAAAACAGATGAAGAATTCAGCACTGAGCAGAAAGCAAGCACTATTCCAGCACTATGCATGTTACATTTGGTCATGTTACAATGGCCACACATAAAATAGTTGTACCCTTTCAGCAGGGAACAAGCAATATATTACTGTACTTTCACATGCTGCATGCAATGGTTCTAGACTTGGGAAACAACACTTGGAGGCAAACTGTGTTCATTAAATAACACGCATGGTCTTACAATGCCACTCCTCCCTCTACCCTTTGCACACCAAAAATAATCTTATTTTGGCTGGCTTATACTGCACCATCAAAATCAACATCCACATTTGGCAGATCCATGTCAGGAACTCTCCGCCATCTCTCTGAATCCAGGTCTGCAATAACTGAGTCAAAGAAAGCTATTGCTTCCCTTACATCTGAACTGGACTGTGGCCCTTTTCTTTCCATGGATGCCTGTTGATCAGATAGGGAGTAAAAGGTTAGTTAAGGTTGGGCACAATGACCTCTTAATGAGCAAACTGTATAAGGAAGCTGAAAACATTGTATTTGACTCTGTACTTCAAGCTAGAAAAGGACATAGGTCAGACTGCTCCACAGGTTGTGGCAATCAAAGAAAGTGGGACAGCAGTTTAGCAAAAGTCCATCTTGTTACATGCTCAACACCAAACATCCTTCACTTGGACGCTGCCAGCCAGGTGTTATAAAATCCCTCAGAACCCCAGTATCAGTCCATTTAATTAGGCGGCTAAGTGACAGATGGGCTTTATGGCCTAATTTATTCTACCTAGCAGTAGGCACCTAATGAGACACACATTAGAAACGTAGTCATGCGGGGTTCCTTCTGTAATTAATGCATGGCTCCAGTATCTTCAGAAGATGAGTCAGGCCTTAGGTAGGCTGAATTCTCCTCTGCAGGCAGCTCGTTCTCTTAGCTGCAAAGGGATTGTGGGGTAACTTGGTTACTAAATCAAGCATCTTATTAAAATGCCTAGGTTAGGTGAAATGAATACAGATCTAAATTGCTAAAGTCCTTTTTAAATGGAAAAGGATCGTGTGTGCTAAAATATGAGTCATTCAACACTCTGCTGATTCCCACAGGAAAGCCACAGGGTTTAAAATTAGGAGCCTGTGTCTTGAGAAAAAAGCAAATGCCTGCCTGTAAATGTTGCAGCAGTCATAAAGCCTTGGCTGGCAATTCTGTAGGTCCATATGGGATGAATACTTCCTGCTGTGTTCTACCTAATGAGGAGCTGCGTATTTTTCTTGCCAGTCTGAGCTAGGTGTATTGTTTTGCAGTACCAAGTCAGAAAATTGCTACCTTGGTTTTCAAACATGCAAACAAAGGATACATGCTGTAGCACATCTCTGAAGGACCAGCTTGTTCCCTGTTCTGTGGAGGAAGAGGGATGAGGCAGCTTATTCCCCTTCTGACATTATGGGTTGATTGAAATCCTCAAAAGTGCTAAAAGATAGCTGCTACCACACATCTACTGAAAATAGTGACTGCTATTATGACTAAGCCCTTATATGTTATAAACCATTTTAAAGAAATGCCTATGTACTTCCAGCATTTGACCCACCCCTCCATTCTTTTCTCTTAGTAGATCCAAGTGGCAAATTTTGAATCCATGCAGTCAGCCTGTAGTCCAGGTCCTAGACATCTTTGGATTAAACCTCCCATGATGACAAGGTTGTCTGGACAAAGTCCTTTCTTATTAATCATCCATCATGTAGGAGAAAGAAGCGAATTTCCACTGACAGCCAATTTAACACAAAGAGGTAGTTACGGACAAAACCATTCAAGCCTGGTGATAAAATGAACCTTGTAATCTGTCAACATAAAATCTGTAGTGAGGGAGCAGAGGATTCTGGCTATTCTAGAAGTCTCCATGACCTCTCCCTAATTTTTGTAAAGCCAAGGCTAGATAGCTGTGATCCTGCAATTTGTGTTGGCGATAATGACTTGTGGGTGGCATGTCCTGCTCATGTCCCTGTCTGTTCTTAAGGGGACAGCTCATGGAGTTTGCATGCCAGTCAGTAGCAGGGTTGTCCATACATAAGACCTAGCTGGCCACAGTCAGATGCCAGCATATTTAGACTCAGCCTGTAGGAGATTCATTTGTTTTTCCTAACTAGTATTTTCAGTGGCAAATCTCAGAGATTCACAAACCTGCATGAAGCCTAGTTGTGCAGAATGTATCTCCCAGCTTCCTGGTCCATTGTTTTAGTACCATTTGTGCTCATTTTTTTCCCACCTGGCTGATGGTTAGTCATGTATTGCTCCACTACATCACTGTTCAGCTCATCACGGAGCTGGCATGCTGTAAATCTCTGCTACTTCAAGCCAATCATTGTCTGACAGTGTAAAAAGTCAGTTCACAGACTGTGTCTATAGTGTTGAGATTTGTCTCCTGGCACCTGGCACCACCAGGCCATTTTTCTATATCTCAGTCATTCTCTTCTGCTATTTCTCTGGCCTAAATAATAATGTCTTTATAAAATCTATACTCTCCAGCCCACTGAGCTGAATATTGTTTCCTCCTATTATCCCTAGTTTCTGAGAGTCACTGTGCACTGAAAGGATGACATAAAGCCTAATAAAACAAAATGAAAAATCCCACTGACTGAAAGGGTATTAGATCAAAATGTAAAATTGAAAAATGTGCTATCTAGTCCTAAACACGTGAGCCTTGTCATTTGGTTAAAAAATGCCTGCAAAAGAGCTTAGCTTCAGCCATTCTGACAATCTGCTGTAACACATCTAACTGTGGCAATATTTTGGGGAAAGTCTACCTTGCCTAATTGGTAAGTCAGCCAAATAGCCCTTCTTTCCACCATCCCCATTATTACCCAGTTTAAAGATTGCACTGAGTAACCTATGTGTTTGCTGTCAAAGTCATGTTTATGGTTGTGTAACCTGAATGGATTTCCCCACCTGTTACAATTCTTCCATTTGTCCTCACTGCATCAAGTCCAGAGTCAAATTAACCACTGAAATGTCTAGTGACATGCAATCTATAAGCTGCAACCAGGACAAAGCTTTGCAATGCTTTTCTTTCTAGGATACGTGGAACTAGTCTGCACTAAAGATGATATTTCAGTTTTGCTTTTGTGGTATCATTACAGTAAAGGATAAAGAATTATACTGTCTCAAAATGATTTGTCAACTTATTAATGGATAGAGTAAGAAACCGTTAAGAATTTCTCGTTCCTGACAGCCCATCAGTAGAACTTGCACTGATGCTAAATGTAGCACTGACAAGCTATCTGACCAGCCAGAAAGATTCCTATTTATTTCAATGAATTTACAATTATTTTGTGTAAGTAATTTCATGCCAATAAAAAGACTGCCAGTAAACCTAGGGATTACTGTGCTTGTCAGTCATTAACAGCTTTAAATAACCATAATGGAGAACTCAGAGGCATTTAAATAGCCTGCCAGAGTATTGAGAGAACAGCTCACTTTTTCATAACATGTTTTCAGATACTTGCCCTACTCTCATGCCACTTTGCTCCTCATATTCCACACACACACACACACACCCCAAAAGTAGGAATATACATTTGTTTCCATGACCATTCATACTTAATTTCACACTACTCAGAAAGAGTTTCAGGTATTTAGCAACATTTCAACTGATGCAACAGTAAAATGACAATTGCATGAGACCAATGAAGCAGAAAATCAACACAGGACATACAGCATCAATTGCTTTGTAGACTAGGACCAAGCACATGACAAAAGCTCTTTAGAATTACCTTAGAAGATTCTTTGGAAGGAAGTGGAAGAAATGACTTCTTTCCAGTTTTGGATGATTTTGTGGACATTGGGGAATCTGCAGCCATATGCATGGATTTCAAGTTCTTGATGTTGTCAAGATATTTTTTCCTCAATGCTAACAGGTCCTGTAAGTACTTCAAGCAGTCCTGAGTCTTCGAGTACATCCAGTCTCTGTCTTCCTCTTTTGGCTGGAAGCAAGAGTCGATGCTGGTTGTACTTCTGCATTTTTTTAGTGGTTCACTTATTTTTTCCTGCTCACCTCCAAGGACATACATAGAAGTGCTGCGGATCAGTCTCACCGCAGAACCGGTGCCTTCACAGTAAGGGATGTCGTCTGTCACATTTCTTCGGTGGGAGTTGGGATGAAATATAGAATGGATCTTTTTGAACATAGTGTGCCACTTTTTCCCCTTTATACCTTTTCTCTTTTAGCTCCTTAATTTTACACTAGATCTGGTAATCAGCAGCTATTACCCTTGCCCTCAGCAGACAGACAATTTTGCCACTCACTGAAATGAAGAGAAAAAAAAAAACAAACTCTATTGCTGCACAAATTGTTTCTTTCAAACTAACACATTATGAAGAGCATGATGGTAATGAAAAAGCATGTTTTCAACTTCATTTGTTGAAACAGTTTTGTTCTTTCGTCGGTTTAAAATATAGTACAGGAGGTCAAATAGCATGCTTTGACCTTTTGTTTGACTGCTGCTCCCTGTGGAAACCATCAGCATCGAGGTAGAAATTCCTCCTTTTCCCACCTTCCCTTCGAGCTCCTGCGCTCCGGTCTCCGCCCGGCGCAGGCGGCCGGAGGGCGCCGTGCGCTGACCGTGGTGCTGAACCGCTCCCTCTCCGCCACGACCATCCAGCTGCCTCCCGGGGGCGCAGGGAGGCAACCTGGCAGCCAGCCTTCTACGGGATGCTTTTTGGGAAGAGCTTGTTGAGACCAGCCTCGTCAGGGATAAAAGTCTGAGTGGGAAAGAATAGTTTCTGTCGAGTGGAGTTCAGCTGATGAAAGAAGTCACCCTGGGTTTCACCCGCCTGTAACCAGGAGATGGCTACAGCTACCTGATACTGCAGCACTACTGGGAGCAAAGTGGATTCATATGTCAGTCTCTATTACACTCAATACAAAGATGGCTTGTGTAAGGGATGCTGTAAAATAAAACACTCTTCCAAAGCACTAATCTAGCAAAATACTGCAAACAGAAACCAATGAATTTCTGTCTTTCAACATTAGTTCTTCTCTTAGATTAATACAAGAACATCCAATACAGTGGTTTTGTTGACTGCTTTTTGGTTGAAAGGTACTGAGAACGTTGAATGTTATTGGTATATTCAGCATTGCTAGTACTTGTAACTGTGTGACAACATGATTTATGACTTAGACATAGGTAGGTATCAAATTTGGTCAGCTTTCATGACTAAGACAATCAAAACGTTTTAAAAATGAGCAGTAATGTCCAGATTTACCATGTTCAAAAGGGTTTTCATAATTCATCCTGATCGAGCACTGAATGCTTGAGAAAATAATTATTTTGAAAGACAGCGGATATCACTCTTCAGACTCAACTGAGAAAATTTCTGTTAATGCCACTGGAAGTGCCATGCAGAGGTTTGAGCATCCTAACAGCTCTACGATCTCAGCAGGAAAGATAAGTTCTAATAAAAATTTGCATCCATTCCCTCAGGAACTCTCATTTACTGAAACTAAACATATACCACAGCCATCTTAAACCATGCATTTTGTTCCTTTCACAGCTTATAAAGTTGAAACGTCCTTATAACATAGCTAAAAATTGAGACAAGCTAACTTCTGACACTTTTTCAGCATTAAAATACTAGCAGAAACATAAAAAATTCTCACTGCATCTGAGAGCAGCCTAGACACTGTACTTGTATAAAGGTATTTCGTTATTAATAATCTCCAAAATTCTACTCAATCCCACAGCTAGATAATAGATTAAGTTGGCTTTATGTTAGCATAGACCATTAGAAATTAAAAAAAAAAAAATCTCTCCTCAAAACTGCACATCTGAGATGGGGAAAGTTTCTGTTCATCAGTACTAACATAGAATAAAAATAGTTCCATTTATAGATTTATTTCATTTTCAGAGCAAAAGGCTACAAGGGTATTTTAATTTGTTGTCCTGAATGAGTAAGATAAATATGTCATAGTCATTCTAGACAATGTGTTTACCTTAGTAAAACTAAAGTTTACCTTACCTTAGTTGCAAAAATTTAGAGTTTTCCTGAATAGCCCTATTAAAAATGGCTTAGATTTGCTACATGTGAGGATACTGGTCTTTGCTTATAAACATTTTACAATGCCAGTGAGCCTCAGAGAGGCACTGTAAGTGAACTGATGGTCACAAAACCTGTGATTCAAGAAAATCAGTGGGAGTCCAAAGAATTATAGCCAAAGAGTTGAGCCAGAAGGGTCAATGGAACTCCACGAAGCAACTGCTGATAGGATCAGACATTGCCTTTCAATAGCAAATTGATTTCTAAGCTCATCTAGACTTACAAAGGGCTACAGGGTAAAAACCAATCCAAAACAACTAAAAACAAAAGAACAACAAAACAAACAAACAAACAAAATCACCTCAAGTTTCTGTTCATGAAACCATGGAAGACACACCTGTGAAGACTAAATCTGATGTGATTTGGAAAATTTTTTATGTGGGCCATAGATTTTCCTATCCTCCCTCAACTAGGCACTTAAAACATAAAATGACATCTCACTAATTTCGATTAACGGTTTCAGGCTCTTAAGAGGATTCTCAATTTCAAACATGTTCATTGCCAATTTTTATAAAAGCTAGGTTGGCACATTCATTCTGTGCCAACATATATGTGGTTCCCATTTTTCACAGTGGTGTTAGAACAAAGAAGGATTAATAAATGTATGAGACAATACAGTAGCTGCATTATATACCAGAATTTAATTTTGAGTAATAAAGGGTCGTTTCAGACATTGCTATCTTATTCTATTCATCAGTTATGCACAGTCTTTCTCTCTATTATAAAAAATGAATGTTTGTTTTCTTCAGAGTATCTAATGTAATTCAAACAGCTCCATGGACTTAGAATGCTAAGGGAAAAAGAATGGATATATTTAAAGGTCACAAGTGTCTCTAGAGTGTTTTGTGAGAAAAGGAATACCCTGTGTCTTTTTAAGATATTTTCCTATAAGGCATTTGCATTGAAACGTGTTTCTTGAGTAGTGTTTTATTTTTTTATAGTCAAATTCTGGTCCCCATGTACATGTAAGTGTCCCTGTTCAAGTAAATAAGAAAGCAATTATAATTCAGCCACCACAGATCACAGGTCTCTTCCCCAGTGTTGCTGCTGGGGACTGAATATGCTACTGTTATTTAAGAAAGCTGTTAATTAAAAACCAAGGTCTTACTCAAGAATTATTTTCTTCTGCACAATGACACTCATCAAATGGCAAATGAAAGAATATTTAGTCTGTTAATTCAAAGTACCAAGTTTATGAGCAGCTATTAAACCATAAACAAAGACCTCCCGAAGAAGAAGCTTGCAAGAGGCAGATCAAATAGACCACACTAATCAAACAGACCACACTAAATATTTAACGGCATCTAAGATTACTAACTTTGACAAGGCAATGCTCACACCTTGTTTGTTTATTTGGCTACTTGAATTTGACTTCTTTTATTCAATACTTTTTATTTTATGTGACTTCTCTTTTTCCTGTTACTGTTTTCAGTGTTTGTGCCTTCTCTGTACCTAGCAGAGTGATCTAAGTTCCATAGGTCACCACCCAATCACTCCCCAAACTGCTTTGTTATTTAGCCTTGCTATTCTGGCAATTTCTGAGCCACCATGAATGGGTACGAAAATCAAGCTAAAAAATTTAATGTATGTGTCCTGTTTGACTAAATTAAATGTACAGTTGGGGAAAAACAAACAAACAAACAAACAACCTGCCCACAAAAAAAAACAAAAAAAAAACCAAAACCAAACAGAAAACAAACAAAAACCCCCAAAATAAAGAAAAAAACACAAAACAATAAAATCAAATTTTTAGATAAATGCAATTAAAAATGGTCACACATATTTTGAGTTTTCCACAATAACTTGTTTGTCAAAATGCATTGCTATCTCCAGAATAACATTATATCAAGCATATAAATCTACTTGATAGTTACATCTCACTCAAGTGACTGATGCAGAGGAATGTCAAATCATCCTTGAAACAAACTAAAGCTCTGACGCCAAAGAAAAAAAACTTTGACAAATTGTAGACGAAAAGGTATTCTTTCTCTATCATAAAGTCGTATCTCATTCAGGATACTATATTTTATTATATTTTTTAAAGTAAAAACACTTTGCTTGTAAAGCAAAAAATCCACACTTACAAAATATGTGAGTGGATAGTGAAGTTCCTGAGCCTTTTGTTACTTTAGATAATTCAGAAATTAAATCAGAGCTGTCAATCTCTGTTGAATTCTGCTATGTATATATAGATACATAAAAGGGTAAACAGTTTGGAGAGAGCAACAAAACAGAGGAAAACAGAGAAACCAATTCATCAGAACAGGCATCTACACTTTGCTCACTAGTCCCTTACTATATGCCAGTTCATATGTTCCCTTGAAGTTCTACAAAGACACACCAAAAAAATTACAAGATCTCCTGGAGATTTAAGAGAAAATCAATAAATGCAGGAATGCTGAGCCCACAGTTCAATACTAAAGGAAAATAACATCCCAAGGTTTGATACCTGTGTGGTTGTTGTGACACTTACTGTTTCCAAGGTCACACACACTTGAAAAGATTAGATGCTGGGACATTCCCGAATTATAGATCGGGTGCTGAATGTCAGTGCTTTGGTGGGTGAAAAGAAACACCCACTATTAGAGGTAAAATACCACAAGACTCTTACCTTTCATTGACTAAAAGGGAAGATGCAAGAAGAATGGATCGTGTTATCAAAAGAAGACTCCTCAGGTTGTTTCTTCTCTTTCAGCCCAATAAGATAGCAGTCAGGAGGAGTTCTGCATCCCCAAAACTGCTTGGTATTATTCCTCTTTCAGGAGGCTCTCAAAGTATAAGAAAGGAGAGCAACTCTGATATCACACATTTGAAATATCTACAATTGCTCATCTGAGGCATGAAGCTGGAGAAATAAGTTTCCCCAAGAATACAGCTAAAGATTTTCATTTGAGCTGATTTAGACATAAGTACAGTGAAAACTAGATGTGTCACCTACATCGGATTTAACAGGGATCATGCTTTTTCTGGGTACGTACTTGAGCCGTGCTGTCAACCAGGCAACACTGACCAGCAAAACCAGCTGAATCAGAAAACTGAGGCTCCTGCCAGAGGATGAATAGTATTTTTGGTAAATATGGAGCATCATCTT